TCACACCTTGGTCAGGAACATTCTTTTACACTGTATCTGATCAGGACCTATTCCCTCATTAACACAGCCAAGACTGAATCATCTCTTTAGTCATTACATTTAGTCCAAGTACGCATCATCTGGGTTTAAATCTTCAAGAACCACATACTCTATCCTAAATCTTTAAGAATCTCACATTCTATCCAGAACTATACACACTATCTAATCTTCTCTGTTCCTAGAAATCACTTAGAGTGCTTATTAAATGTGATATATTTAGACTCCTTCCCAGACCTACTAAATCAGAATTTTACATGGGAGAAGCATGAGTTGTCAGACTGTAGTATAAAATCTCAAATAGCTTGAAATACATAAAATAGTTATATTAATACATAAAAATATTACGTTTAGAATACATAAAAATATTACCTTTGAGCTTGTTAATAAAGCAGAATCTGGAATGCTAGCACCAGAGATTTACAAGTTTTGGGTATATTGAGTCCAGGAATTTCTAACTTTATTAAGCACCCAGGAGGAATTTACTAGAACAAACATTGCTTGCAGGTTGTTTGTGTTTCTACCACTTTGGCCAAGAAGAAGGTCCTTTTTTGTATGATAGGCCAGACACAACACACAAAAAGGTCATCTCTAGCACCGGTAAAGAGCAGAACTGTTCATAAAACCCCATTCTCTCAAGTGCTTCCTATATGAGATTTGATGTTAGTGTAAATCCTTTGCTTAGTAACCTTTGTTAACTGTATGTTAAGTTCTACACCTTTTGTGATAAATTCTTATTTAATTTACCTCCTTGTTATTAATAAAAATCAACTTTGTCCTTATTTAATCCAAAGTGACCTATCTTACTCTTTTTTTTTCTTTAAAATAATTTATTTTAAAAAGAGCTATTACATTAAAAAATCACCACCTTACAAAGGCATCAATAATCAAATATTTTGGAAAGAACAAACCAGAAAATACCTAAATTTGGACCTGAAATCATAAAACCCAGGCAGGCCATGTTAATGCACTTAGTCTTTTTGTGCTTTATATCTGTTTACCATTCTAAAAGTCCTTATCTTCAATTTAAATTCAAAGCTTACAGGGCATGCAATAGCTCTAGAAACATTTCTGCTGGAAATTAGTATCTGCTGTATTTTTGAAAACTTCAACTGAAACAAAGAGCTTTTGGAAATATAGATATAGCTTTCTTTCCATAATGGGTACAGTCCTGAGAAGTCACAAGATAAGGTAGTAATATATTAATATTTTAGGTGGGTGGTTCCCTTATATTCGTGGGTGGGTAAGGGTTTGAGGAGCAATAATCATCATTGAGCCTTTTGTACTTAACATCATATGTCTACAGTGTGATCAAGAAAATATAGCCCAGCTGTTTCAAAGACCATCAGTTAATTAAAAATGTATTCTCATTATTGTTATGACCACTATTAATACCTTGTGTGCTTACTGTATGCCAGGCACTGGGAAAAGGACTTTACAAGTATTGCCCATTCACTCATTGACATATTCAACTATTTATTGTGCAACAGTTATGCCCAAGGACTATTGTTATCACAAGACAGCATGTTCCTGCCCATATTGGCCTTAAATTCTACTAGGAGATCAATGATAAGTGAATAAATATATAATATTTCAGTAGTATAGGTCTTTCTGTAAAGAAAGCAAACATGGTGAGGGAGTCAGAAATGTTTTTGAGATAAAGAGGCCAGTAAAGGCCACTCTTGAGGGGTAGGCAGAGGACTGAATGAAGCAAAGGAAAAAGCCATACAAAGTCTTCTGGAAAAAAACCTTCTTAAATGGGAAGAAAGGTAAGTGCAAAAGTTCAGAGGTAAAAATGAGCTTAGCTCACTTAAGAGTGTCAAGGAGACAACTTTGGCCAGAACAAGCAGAGGGAGTAAAATGGTAAGAAATGAGACAGGGACCAGATCATATGAAGCTTTTTAGTCTGAGCTAAGGAGTTAAGGTTTTAGAATATTTAATCCATAGAGCAACCCTATGTTATTATTGTTTGCATTTAACACATGAAAAATTGAGGCTTAATCAGTAAATTTGCTCAGGTTCATTCATCTAATTACTATGATAGGACAGTGTGAAACTCTTTGTCCTAATCCAAATCCTATGCTCCCTCTACTATATTAAGTTTTCTTTCATTTAACTAATTGGGTTGCCTTAAAAAAATATGGCCCTAAATTTAGTGAACCCTAATCAAATGCTCTCTATAGTAAAAGAAAATAGATACATACTTGAATCTGAATTTCTGCACACAAAGGAGAGAGGGAAGCTGTGTATATACCATATTATATGATATTGAATACACACAGCATTGTGGTTTAGAGTGGTAATTTTTAATGCTTTTGATGATTTAACATTTGAAATCCAGAATTAATGAAGAGAGCAAATCATTGAAAGCATGCTAGTTGAATAGCAATTAGACACATAAAAGAAAATGTGACATGCTCAAAATGAGCTTCTTAGCCAAAACTTAAACCACCCCAGTAGTAATCTATTAAAAATAAAAAAACTTTTTTGAATAAATATTGCACTGTTGATATAAAATGAGATAGTGTTATTATATTACCTTATATAATTAATATGTCTGCCTATTTAAGGAATAGAGACATTCATATTTTTATATAGAGACCAGTATACTTAGTTCTATAAATAAAATGATTCATAATAAAATAGTATTCTGAGGAAATGGTTTGTTAGAACTTGAATGATAAGCTGGCAATTTAAATGGTTGTAGTTATAAGTAAAAGTTATCCATTAAAAAGGCCATTAGAGAACATTTACAGTAAGATGAAAAAATATTCTACTTTGAAGACGAAAAGCGAAGTTCAGATATTTTGAAATTTTGTTCAGAACTAAAATTTCCTGAAAAATTTAAATAATGAACTATATCATTTAAAAGTATGCCTTTTAAAATGTGTATTTAGATTTTTCTCTTACCAAATAAGACCTTAATAGCCTACATGCTATTTTTATGAGTACCTCTTTAGTGTAGTAATCAGGATATCTTCCCTTAACTTTGAAATTAATGTCTAAAATAGAAGCCATGATTTCAAAAAATACGTCTAAGGAAAAAATATATTTAAACAAAGTAATAACTGTGGCTGTCACTAGGTCGTTTTTATGATTAAATTAAAGTGGAACAATAATTAAAAGATGATAAATAGATTTTGATTATTTTTTTGCCCAGAAAAGAATTAGAGCTATTGTTCAAGTACTGTCATCTCCTACTGTAATTCACATTTAATGAAGAATAAGCAGTCCTTTCAAAATCACGAATGTACTGAAACAATTCTTCCGGCACTGAATCTTTATTCTGTGCTTAGAATAACGTTACTATAATTCCTCCCCCAACTTAGAGGTATAGTTTTAGTGAAGAGGTGATCAAAGCCAGATCACACATAGTTTGAATGAAGAGAATAGATAAATTCACAATAATTCTATGATTACAACAGTGTTTAAAGTGAATTATTCAGCAGTAAGATTGGTCTTACTTTGATTCTATTTTTTCCTCAAAGAACAAAGTGAAATATTTTTGATAGGACAGAAATTTACAGAGACCCAGTATTTCTGCTATTCAAAGATGAACATCTTCCCTTTGATTCAGTTACTTATGCATAAAACTGGAGATAACGATACATACTTCAGCTTTTCACATTTTAGGACAGGGTTATTGTCTCATTCATTTTTGTGTCTTCAGTGAATAACCAAGAACCTTATATAGAATAAGAGAATGAATGAGTGAATGAATGAAGCAAAAGAATGGGTGAAATAATATCACAATTACTTTGAAATTGGGAGTAGAGTTCAAATATTTATGTTGGAAAGTATTAGCTCTAGCCTTAATGGTGTAATGTTATGTGGGTAACATCATCATTTAGTTTCCTCAGCTGTAAAATTAGCCTTATAGATCAGTAATTAATATATTTTTTAAGTGTTCCAACTAATCTTTACCTCAAATTGTGTAGATTTTAAGTTGTATATGACAAAATAAGAACAAAGGTTTCCCACATTATTTGCAAGCTGTGAATTATTAGTAACCCATAAATGACTAGTGACACCTGAGGCCTTTAAAAACGTGCATTCTTACTGAGAATTCTGTGATGTTTTGCTAGCTACCTTAAATTGATGTCTCTCCTGTATAAACTGATTATCTTTAACACAATGTCTGGTATATGATATGCATTGTCTTTTATTCCTTTGGATTGCTTTTTTTTATGTTAATAACTCTTGCATTAAACTATAAATTCCTGAAAGGTATGAATTCTCCAAAATTTTTTATAACCTTTAAAGCTCCCAACATAATAAATATTAATTCCATTGGTCAAGGGTGACTTTTTTTCTACCTATGTGGATTTTTTTTTTACCTTCAAGGTAGGTACTGCATAGATAGTTTTTGGTTGTACTAAAAGGGATAATCATAAAATTCCCTTAAAAACTGTAAAATTCTAAGTGGTTGCTCCTACTGTTTATTTTTGAGTGCCTCATTTGGGATGCTAACCATGAAATTCCAAATTAGTATAGATGTGCATAGTACCAACCTTATGAACTGCAGACTGTTGGAGGAGGTTTTATGATCAATAGCTGTAGAACAGATATTTTTGCAATATTATAGTATCCTTTGGTAGATAAGCTTTAGGATCTTTGCTAGTTACAAATTGGGACAATCATTCCATAATTGGAACTATCATATCTAAAAATTTAGCATGATTTTATTATCGAAGAGTTTTTGGGTTTTGTTAGCTGTAAAACATTTTGGTAATGGAAATAGTCAACCTTGTTTCATGGGGACATGGTTTCTTCCTATCATATTGTGTGATATTCATACACAGCCCATTAAATAAAAAGCAATTACACATTTACTAGCAACATAAACTGATCCCCCTCTCATCTATAACTGAAAATAAATGGTATATCTACTATTTAAAATTTATTAACTTGAAATTGTGTGCCTTTACCCAAGTGAATGAACTTCCCTTTATATTTTTTGGCAGGAAGAAGCACTGCATGGGTTTCGAGTGAGTGATTATTTTGAATACATGGAAATTCTGCAGCAAAACTACCGACCCGTGCTGCTGAGAGACATGCAGAACATTAGAGTGCAGAGCACATAGATCATGAGATGCACTGTTTAATTTTATGTTTTATTTATTTTTAAAGGAAACAAGGGGAACTTGATCGTTTTCTATCTGTATCTATAACAACATATGCTTTGTGAATATACATATTGTAAATCAATACTGAGAAGTTTTGAATATGATAATATATTCAAGTAGGTATTAGCTTAATTTGTGACATGAAGTGAATTCATTTTTCTAAATTTGTTCTGTAAGGTTGTTTTAGAATCAGATCTAGCTTACTTATAAGTTCATATTTGTGTTTAAGAGTTAGACCCACCCTACACCTTTTCCTTCACCAGATGATTAAAATATTTTTCCCGTGAGTTTGGAAAAAAGAAGCAATATTGTAAAGAATCAACTAGCCAGCGAGAGGCCATAGAGACAAGGAAAAGCCAGTTGTTTTCTCCATTTTTTGTGTCTGTACATCTGAAGGAAAATAGACAAAACCACAACTGTTAATTTTTCGTGTGGTGGAACAAATGATATTTACCATGGCAAGTGGTAGAAAAACTATTGTCCTCAGACATAATTGTTTTTCTAGGAGTTGCTTTTGATTTTGATATGTATATCAATTTATAATTTTTCATTTGATATGAAAGCTTTACATGGTTCATTTAAAAGATAGATTGGTTATTTCATACTGATAAGCATTCTACTCTTATTGTTATGCATTTTCCATGGTGATATATTTGATTCTTAATGAAAACATTAAGAATAGATTTCTGAATTATTTTAAATGATTAACACTATATATTTTTTTTTAAGTAGAAGTCTCTGCGCCAATAAGATAAATATGATATGTGAAGGCTTATTTTCTCATAGCTATCACATTTAATGTATAAAATATAACACACAAATGTATTAAACTATAATTTTTCAGTCACCAATTTCTGTGAAGTTGTTTGAACTATCGAGGTTTTTTTGTAGTCTTTGCTTATATCTAAGTATAAATCAATCATTTAAACCACTTTGAAGCTAACCTTGCTTTTTTCCTTTTCAACCAAAAGTGGATCATCCACAACTCATTTTTGCTTTTAGCATAATGAAACAACTGATACTATACATAGTTTTCAATTTTCTGACATTTTGACTATCGCAGTATCAACCTTCCAAAATCAGGTTTTATGCTGTAAATGCCAATAATAGCTTCTCAGTAATAATATTCCTAAAGGGCATTAAAGAGTTGAGAAAAGTAAATTGAGCAAGTCAATTTAACATTTTGCACACTTTTGCCATAGCTGTTGTGAATTAAGCAAGAGAGTCCTAGATAACCCAAAACACCAAGCTTTTTCTACTTTCATACAATTTTGAGAAGCTGTTCTACAGAACCTGTAATACATGTTTATGGTTCAATTTCTTCCCATTCTGTTCCTTAGTTACCATAATGGGGCCTAAGAAACTTGCAGCTTTATTCCTTTTTAAAATATCTTTCACAGTAGTTGGAAATACAAATGGAAAAGGAACTGTAATTTAATTTTAGAATAGTCATTGATGATTTTGATCAGAAACTCTAAGATATAGATTATTACAATTACATTTTGAAAAAAGTTACTTCACCTGGAGCCAGAAGGCTCTCATTTTCATTTGATAAATAGGAAATGTCCTGTGAACAATGACCTAGCAATTTCTTTTTCTGTTGGGAGAAAATATAAATCCAGTAGTTTATGTAGTTACCATTATGAGTTATTTTTGTATTTATTTTTAAGAATACCCTTTAGAACAAGAATACCCTGTCTTGCCCCTTGGTTTTGTTTTATATTATTTAAAGTATAAATCCTTAGGTGGGCTGACTTTATTTCTAATTTTCAAAGGGGTAACTTACACATTTTACAGAATTCGGTGATATTAAAATACAATATGTAGTGGATTGAATTGTGTCCCCCCAAAACTCATTGAAGTTTGAATTGTATCCCCTGTATTTTATGTATTAGAAACTTAGCCCCCGGGCTGGCCTGGTGGCGCACTGCTAGTGCGCCGCTTGGGAGTGTGGCGGCGCTCCCGCCGAGGGTTTGGATCCCACATACAGACCGGCCGCTCACTGCCTGAGCGAGGTGCGGGTGCAACACCGAGGGTTGCGATCCCATTGCCGGTCCCGGTCCGGTCCGGGCGCGACACTGAGGGTTGCGATCCGTTGCCGGTCACGAAAAAAGACAAAAAGGAAAAAAAAAAAAGAAACTTAGCCCCCACTGTGACTGTTAAGAGGGTGGGAAATCCTATTATGGTAATTGAAAGGTGGGGACTTGAAGATGTGATTGGATTGTAGGACCCTGCAGTAGTGAATGGATTACAAATGGTGGTCAGGGGCATGGTTCTGAGAGGAGAGACTTTTCTTTAAGAGGAGAATCTGTCTCTTGCTCTCGCTCTGTTCTCTCTGCTTCCACCATCTTGCAATGTGAGACACCTGAGTCACTGTCACCACCACCAGATGGACTTTGGACTTCCCAGCCTCAGAAACTGTAAACAATAAATGTTGTTTTATTTTATAAATCACCCAGTTCCATGTATTTTGTTACAAGCAACAAAAATGGACTGATACACAATATAAACAAATTTGTGAAAAATTTAAGTACACATATAAATCTTTGAATATCTACTTTCAAAATTTCATTCCTCCTCATGATTTATAGGTATCTAAAATATCTGCAAAGGTAAAATACGTCTCAGAAATTCACCTCAGCTTCCTAATGGGGTTCTACGTAAATTTATGATTATTAAATAAGGTATGCTGTAGTTTGATATTCCGATTCCCAGATATTAGATTAATTTATTTATTAAGTGGACATACTTTAAGGGTTACATATATAATGAAATATTTTTAATAATCAAGATACCAGTATAAATGAGATCCACCACCTCCACTCAATTCATGGTTTGTATGGGTAGATGAATAATTTTAAAATTGTGGAAATATAGTGATGAAGATGACAACTGAGGATTGACCTCTGGATTTGGTGACCTTGATAAGAGCAGTTTTGATAACGTAGTAAGGGCAAAACTTTGATTGGATTGGGTTTAAGTGATGCTTAGAAGAGATTTCGGAAACTTCCCTTCCTAGGTGGGAACAAACTAATAATAAAATAGGCAAAATATTTGGCCACACTTCACCAAAGAAAATATACACCAATGACAAATAAGTGCACAAGAATATGCTTATCGCGGGCCGGCCCGGTGGCGCACTGCTGTAGTGCACCGCTTGGGAAGCGCGGCGGCGCTCCCGCCGAGGGTTCGGATCCCACATACAGACTGGCCGCTCACTGGCTGAGTGAGGTGCGGGAACAGCACCGAGGGTTGCGATCCCGTAGCCGGTCCCGGTCCGGTACGAGCACGACACTGAGGGTTGCGATCCGTTGCCAGTCACGAAAAAAGACAAAAAGGAAAAAAAAAAAAAGAATATGCTTATCACCATTCATTTTAGAGAAATGCAAATTAAAAACTTAAGGAGGTAACCAATACACACTAAATTGTCTAAAACTGAAACATATAACATGAAACAAAGCAAAAAGCTGGTTGCAAAGCTGGCAAAGAGATGGAGCAACTGGAACTCACATGTTTCTTGTATGAGTGGAAAGTACAATGGCCTTTTCAAAAATTTGATGAAAACTTTTTAAATGAAATTAAACATACACTTAACAGTATGACACAGTAATACCCCTTCTAGGTATTTCTCTAAGAGAAATGAAATATATGTTCATTCAAAGACCTATACATGAATAATAATTACAGCTTTATCACAATAGGAAACCACGTCAAATATCTTTCAACTGATGAATGGATAAACAAATTGTGATGCAGTCATAAAATGGATTACAACTCAGCAATAAAAATTAGCCATGTACTGATGCACACAAAGTCATGGGTGAAATTGAAAAGCATTATGGTGAGTGAAATAAGCCAGACACAAAAGAGTACCTGCTATATGATTCCATTTATATGAAATTCTAGAAAAAGTAAATATATAGTGACAGAATATTTGTGGTTTCCAGGGGCCAGGTGGTGAAGAAAAGGGATTGACCACTCAGAAGCAGACAGGAATTTTATATCATGATTGTAGTGATGGCTGCATGACTGTATACATTCTTAAAAACGCTCTGAAATGTATGCATAAAATGGGTAAATTTTATTGTATGTAAATTCCACCTCAACAAAGCCAACTTTATCAAAAATGGATAAATATTACAAAGAGTTTGACAAACCTGTCATAATGAAAGAGTTTCAACATTAGCGGTTAACATTGGCTGTAGGTTTCCATGGATGTCATAATCCGATTGAGAAAGATCCCTTCTATTTCTATTTTGGTGAGAGTTTTTGAATAGGTTTTGAATTGGAAAGTGGGTTTATTAAATATTTTAAATCAAAATGACTGTGATTTTTTCCTTTTCTGTATTGTCTTACTCTCCCCCCACCCCACAGGTGGCCAATAGGGGAATCCAAACCGTTAACCTTGGTGGTAGCAAGTGAGCTAACTGGACAATCCTGATTTACGTTGATTTTTGAATGCTAAACCAACCTTGCATTCCTTACATCAGCTCTACTTGGTCACGATATTTTATCATTTTTACATGTTGTCAGATTTGATTTGTTAAAATTTTGTAAAGAATTTTCATCTCTATGTTTATGAGGGATATTTATCTATAGTTTTCATTTTCTGGTTTTGATATCAGGGTAATGATGGCTTCATAAAATGAGTTGAGATGTGCTCCCTTATCTATTTTCTAGAAGAGGTTGTATATAAGTAATATTTTTTTTCCCTAAATGTTTGGCAGAATTCCCCAGTGAATCCTGGAATTTACTTTGTGATAAAGTTTTTAGCTAAAAATTCCATTTCTTTAGTAGATATAAGGCTATTCAAATCATATATTTCTTCTTAAGAAAGCTTTGGTGGTTTGTTTCATTCAACAAATTTGTCCATTTCATGTGAATTGTCAAATTTATTTGCATCAAGTTGTTCATAATAGCCCATTATTACTATTTTTAATATGTGTAGAATTGATTTCAACATTAGTGCTCTCATTCTTGGTATTAGTAATCTTCATTTTTTTTCCTGATCAGTTTGGCTAGAAATTTGTGAATTTTATTGATGTTTTCGAAGAACCAACTTTTAGTTTCATCAATTTTCCCTATTGTTTTTCTGTTCTCTGTTCCATTGATTTCCATTGTGATTTTTATTATTTCAGTTATTTAATTTTATTTATTTTTAATTGTACATATTTGTGAATTACAGTGTGTTGTTTCAGTACATGCGTAGTGTTTCCCTTATGTTTTCTTCTCATAGTTTCATTGTTTCAGGTCTTAAATTTAAGTCTTTAATCCTTGAGTTGATTTTTGTGTATCGTCAGAGATACAGGGATCTAGTTTCAATCTTCTGTGTGTGGATATCCAGTTTTCCCAGCACCATTCATTGAAGAAGCTGTCCTTCCCCCCACTGTATATTCTTGACAACTTTGTCAAAAATCAGTTGTGTGTAAATGCATGGATTTATTTCTGAGCTGTCTGTTCTGTTCCATTGGTCTGTTCGTTTTTATGCTAGTACCATGCTATTTGGTCA